AAAATTTACTCGACAGCCCCGATTAAAAAAAAATGATTATGAATTTAATTCATAGGCCTTTACTCGTATAGAAATAATATAATTATAAAAGTATTTCGAAGTTACTAGAACGCTAGCTCCGCGTTATCTATTTACTCTAATAATTTAAATTTTTTATTATTTTTACTCTCTTTAAGTAAGTTAATAAATAACGTTATTATATTAAAATAGCTATAGATAAATCGTTAATAGAAATTAATAAAGCTTAAAAAAACTTATATATCTTAATAACTTTTTAATTTTAACTATTTTTTAATAATAGCGATATATTTTTAATTTATCGCGATATCTTCGATAGATATAATAAACTCTAGAAACTTAATTCGCTCGATATAGAATTAATACTTCTTTAAATTAATATATAATTAAAACTAGCGTAAACGCTTAAGTACTTATTTAATATATTATTAATACTTCGCTAGATTAATATTATAAATTAGAATATTATCTAAATATATTATATATATTATATTTATTAAACTTATAAGAATTCTATTAATATATACTTAAAAAGTTATTAATATATTAGCGAGTTTAAAAGATATAATTAAATATTTAAAGTAGTTATAGCGACTATAAAACGCTATTTTTTACTTATTACTTTCTTTAATTCGAATTTAATAATAAATATCTTTAAGATCTAGCTTTATAAAGATTTTAGACTTATATAAGCGATTTAGAGTCTTAATAATTAGAGATAGTAAATATCGATTTTTAATAATTATCGCGTTTAGACCTCGATAATTAATATAAAAACGAAATCCTCTTATTCTTTTTAAGAATAAAAAGAATTAATACTTCGACTAAAAAAGTCGAGTAATAAATTTAATTTTTCTAAAGAAAGTTTTTTAAATAGCGTTATAGCTTTATTAATTTCGTTTAAAATAGATTATATAAAAGACTATATAGCGGCTTTTTATCGCTTTTAATCTTAATAATATAATTTCTTTACTTAAGCGTAGATAAGATTTCTACTTTTTTATTAGAAAAAATATTATTAAACTTTAATAACTTCTAAAAAAGCTTTAGATTATATTTATTTTTCGATTTATTATACGCTATTATAATATATATAATCGTAAATATATTTAACTTCTATTCGATAATTCGAGTAAATTTAATTAATTTTTTAATTTATAATTTATTAGCGTTAATTTTAAATTATTACTACTTCGCTACTTCGCTACTAGATCTAATAATACTTATAATTAATTTAACTTAAATATATTTAATACGATATTAAAGCCTTTTTAATTAATAATATAAAAGAATATATTATACTTTTTATTTTAATCTTAATTATCTATTAATTAATAATTTAGCTAATATACGTTATAATAATATATACTTTAATCGCTTAATACTTTTAATTATAATAAAATAATATTATAAGATTTTAAGTCTTATTAGACTATAAACTTTTATAAAATTAAATTAATATATACTTTAGTATTAAATAGAGTAATAAGTTATCTCTATTTACTTTAAAGCTTTATCTATCTCTTTATAAGAATAAAAGAAATTATCTTTATTAATTATTATTCTTATCTCGCTACTAAAGCGATTATAAGATTAAATCTTTTTTTATTAATATTATATCGATATAGGCTATAGATAATTTATTAAGATTTAGATACTTAGATATTTAATAATTCTATTTTTTATAATAGAAATAACTATTCTTCTTATAATTAGAGTTAAAGAATTCGACTTTATACTTTATACTATTATCTTAAATATATATTACGTAAGCGCCGTCGTTTAGAGCTAATTTAGATTTCGAAATTTAATTCTTTAAAAGCTTATTCTTAGCGAACCCCCTTAAAAATTTTAAATAGAAATCGCCGTCGAAGTATATATATTCTAAAATCTTTTTCTATATAATAGCCTAAATAAGAATTTCTTCTTATTATTTCGATATATTATTAATATTTAAAATCTTATTTTTAAGCTTTAATTTAAGCTTAATTAAGAAGAAATTAGTTTAATACTTCTTAGAAAATAAGATTATATAAATCTCTAGCTTCTTTAAATAAATTTTAAAAATAAATATCTTCTAATTAAAGCGTTATTTAGTCTTTTTCTACTTTTTATATATAAGAAAATAAGAATTTATTAAATCCGCTATTAAATTAAGTAAAAACTATTTAAAGAATTTAAAAGTTATATTTCTTAGACTATAAGTTTAATAATATCTATATTATTAAGTATTAAAATCGTCTTCTAAGAATTATATATAATAAATAATTCTTACTTAGTTAATAATAAAATACTTAGAATTTATAAGAAATTTAATTTCGACTTCGCGGAACTAGCGTAGATACTCTTTCTTATTAATATTCTTATAAGAATATATTCTTTTAAAACGAAGTATTTTTATCTTAATTAATATATTTATTAAAAACGCGATAATAATCGATATAAATAAATCTTCGCTAGTTATAAATAATAAGCTAGCGTTATAAAGTTTACGATTATAAATCTTTAATATAGTTAATTCTTATTCTTATTCTAGATAATTTTCGATCTTAATAATTATAAAACGTTATTTTATAGTAAGATTTTTTACTAATAAGAAATTCTTAAACTTATTATCAACGCTATAGCGACTTTCGATATTATCTTTATTTTCTATTATATAATTTAGAGATAAACTCGATATCGTAATAATAATAATTCTTTTTCTTTAAAAGATAAAGAAATTAAAATTATAAAGATATAGTTTATTAATAATTAGCTAGCGAATATAGACTATAAAAGATATAATATTATTATAGAATTTAATAATATATTTAATAGTAGAATTAATCTCTAAAAAATATTAAAACTTCGAGATATATAAAGTAGATCTATATTCGCTAAGCCTTTAAGTATATAGAGTATATTATTAAAATTAAACTCTAAAAGAAATATTAATATAATATATATGATATCGGCGTCTTAATGTAAGTAGCGCTAAGGCCTATAATAGTATTAGAACTAATTAGATTATCGAATTTTACTATTTTTAATTTAAAATATATCTTATTTCTTTATTTTCGATTTAAACGCGAGTATATATAAGTATATTTAAAAGAGAAAGTTAGAAAAAAACTTTAAAATCTTTAAATTTATCTTTTTTAATTTCTTTTCTTTTATTAAAAATATAATAATAAACTAAGTATATAGAGTTATAGAATTATTTATACGCTTTTAAATAACGTAGCGTAAACGAGATTTAATAAATTATTTATCTATCGAGTTTACGAGAAGAGTCTCTTCGATAGAAGCTCTCGAAAAACTCTTAAAGAATTCTTAAAGAATTAGAGAGGTTTTAGAGAATTTCTCTCTAAGTATATTAAATAAATTATAATATCTCTCTTAATTCTTAATAAAATATAACGTCTCTCTCGATTTTTAAAGTTAGATTTCTTAAAATTTCTTAAATCCTTCGAAGCTTTTTAAGGGCTCTTTAAGAGCTTTTATCGAAGAGACTATTAAAATAAGCTCGAAATTAAAGTTCGAGTTTACTTTAATGGTTCCTTCGATAGAAGCCCTCGGAGAGCCCTTAAAGAGCCTTCGAAGGGTTCGAGGGGTTTTAGGGGATCTCCCTAAGAATTAAACAATCAAAAACCAGTACTCGGCAAGCTTTTCACTACTGGGAAGCCCGCGCCCCAGCACATATTATTGTCGGGTTACAGCTCGGCAGGGGTGAAAAAAAGTTCGACAGGGGTGAAGCTTCAGCATATGCTTACTTCACCCCAGATGAACTTATAGCATATGCTGAACGTATCCGTTTCACCTCGGATAAACTCGGGCCGAGTCTAAAATGATATCGGCACTTTAGGGGGTTAAGGTATATACTAAGCATATACCTCAATCTCCGTAATCTGTTAAAATATTAGGTATGTGAGAACGGACGGATTGATTCTCCAAAACCTCTCCGGGGCCAGGTCTTGAATACAGTATAAAATCAGGTGGCTGGAAAATATGATAGCTGGAATACGTGGGAAAGAGATAATTTCAAATTTGTAGGTGAGTTACCCCGCGTGGGCTAACGTCGCTGGACTAAATTTAATTTTCTTCACCCCCGATGAGGTGCTGGCATATGCTGAGTGTATCCCTTTCACCCCGGACGAGGTGCATATACTTAGCATCTACTCACCCCTGCCGAACTTTTTTCACCCCTGCCGAGCTGTGAGCCATATTATTGTAAGGCCTCTCCGCGAGAATGGGCCCAAGGCATGGATATAAAGAAAGCAGCTGCGGGCTCTGATGGATACAGAGCAAGGGGGGACATAGATGATGGCTGAGCTGTTGTGTTTTTGCCATTGTCAAGTTAGGTGCGCGAGAGGAGTCGTCTTCTACATCGTTTCGAGCGCTTTGTTGATAGTCACAACAACACGTTTTGATTAATTTACACATATACATCCATACCGAGCTTAGGACTGGGACCTACCGTTCTCGTTCCGCAAAAAGAACAAGCGTGCTTTAGAGGGATCACGGGTGCAGCGCAAGGAGGAGCGAGTAGATAGGGGGCAGAGTGAGTGGATAAGGAGCAGGAGCGAGCAAGGCGATAGCCCGGGGAATCGATCCTGTCTCATCTTCTCCTAGGGTCGCCAATCTGCCTGGGATCGGGATCCGTATCCTGAGATTGCCAAGCAAAACAATAAACCACCGTGCCACCGAAGGAAGCCGTTGGGGCTCCTCGTACTACATAGAAGGGACGCAGCGCAGTCGAGGTTGAATTGGTTGCCTTGTGCACATTTCAAGCGGATTGATTATACTTTCACTTGTTGTATAAGAAGACATGATGTTGAATCATGCTTGATATGAATCCCCACTACACTAAACATACATGTTGTTGAAACACGCTGGACACAAGTGGCCCATATACTTAGAAACTGACATGATGTTGAATCATGCAAGCTCCAAACACTTAGTGCCGGCCTTCTGGAACTTTGCCTTTTCCTTTGACCCTATCACCCTCCCCCTTCGGAAAGGCTTCTGCGTGCCCCCTTTTCGTTCCGTACCGGGTTTCGAATAACGAGACAAATTCTTCCTCCACTTGAGAATCCTCCGCTTTCGCTACCTTTTTTAGAGGATGTCCTCGCATCTATCAGATTTGTGAAAAATTCTCCAAAAAGATCTGCCGTCTGATTCTTGTCGCATAGACGAAATAGTTGACCATGTTGCTGCTTTTCCTTCTTTTCCTGCTTTTCCTTCTTTACCAATTGCGCGACATAATCTGGACGGTGATTTGTCGCAGTACTGGCCAGAATCCGAATAACTGTTGCGCCCTTCCAATGTGCGAGCTCTGTCTTCATCTGCTTCCCTTTGACATCGTCATCTTCATAAGACATCCATAAATTTGTCGTCCGGATCGCTTTCTCCATGTCATCCACAGCCCCCGTTTTCAGCTTTTCAAGCGCACGAAAGTCAGTAGGCCATCAGCTTCTGCGCTCGGTCCCAAACTCACCTGCAAAACACACAAGACTCGGGGTTCGGAGCTGTCTGTGGGTTCCAACGAGAATACGATGTCTGGTCCACAATAATTATCAGGGAAGTAGAAGCTAGCAATTGGTGTGAGATCCTTTTGCCGGATCGATTTCATCCATTCCCATATTGGAACAACGGAACCAGAATTGGGATTTTCATTTTCCCCGCTGTTGACGATTAGCAGGGTCCAGTGACGATGGTATTCTCTCGCTAACCTGCTATCAAAGCTCTTATTTCTATCGTGTGAATAACCAATGTTTCTTCCTTCGACCAGATGGTATGTGGATGCTTTGTGCTCTTTGCCGTCTTCACCAGCCTCGAAAAGAAATTCCAAAATCTTTTCACGACGTTTTTCGCCTTCTGACCCAGTCATGCGATCCGAATGATGTAGACAATTCCACAATTCCTACGATCTAATTAGTATATATTGTACCTACTGTAAGTATCAATTCTTACCAATACTAAAAACCACTCTGCAGCTTTCCCAAAAGATGCTGCATCGTTCGTTGAGAACCGTAAATACTTTTTCAACATGTCATTATACATATCTTTGTTCTCCTCTCGAAACCACTCCCTGGCCGCGTCCATAGCAAGATACTCTTTCAAGGTGCCTTTTAGAGATTGTCCATGCGTCTCGACTACGGCAAATGCTTCCGTAATCATCTGATGATCCTCGTCCTTTTCGAAGATTGTCGGCCTGTCTAAAAGATCGCTTTGAATGACAACCCAGCACAGCTCCTGTAAGATGGCGTCGTAATTGTCTCTCCGGAGCCGAGATAGTCTCTTCTTCAAGGACTCCTTAGCTTCCCGCATAGCGCTATCCGCGGCAGTAGATATGGCAGTCGAATCCAAGTTATCGTGGCCTTTCAGATGCTCCACATATCGAACTGACCACAAGTATCGTCCCCGCAGCCGAATACCATGCTCCTTGATGAGATTCAACACCTCCGGATTCGCTTTGATTTTCTTATTGAGCCCATCCTCTTCGATCAGTTTCGCTAGTTGGTCGCCATTTGTGAGGAGTGGGAAATTTGTAAATGTCTTACATGTGGTGAACAAACGCCCGGGCCCAGTTACTGAGGGAAGTTTGTGAGTGCTTTCGAGAATTGAGATTGTCTTCTTCAACTCCAGAGATGTTCCAGAGACGACGTATCTCTGGTCTTGATATTGCTCAACCCTTGCGTACACTAGAATGTACTCAGAAAATATCTGTAAAAGGTTTTCTGTCTTCGAATTTCCGATGGGAACAAGGGTGTCGAGATAGCACTGCGCTTCATCAAGGCAATAAATGAAAGTCTTATTGTCAAGCACCTTGTCCACATGTGTCGTAGTGTACCAGTAGCATGGGTCCAGCCTTTGGGGCAAATTATTGACTAGTAACAGTAGCCTGAATATAGTCTCGAAAGGATCAATCTTAGAACAAGACTTCTGAAACCTTAGCCAGTTCGCAGGCGTGTCAGCCCCATGTATTTTTGAGGCAACTTCAAGGAACTTGTCGAAGATCAAATGACGTGATAGTATAAGACGGCGAGACCATTCCGTAATTGAATATTTGCTGATATCCATCCCAGGCACAACATTGCCGTTATTCTCGATCAACTGCCATAGCAAGCACGAATCTCTTGAATATCCCCCCCGTAGAGGGTCGTACAAGTTATCGCAATCACGTTGCTGATTCAGACTGAGATTACCGGGCAGAAGATAGTAGCCCCAGTGTTCGTGAAGAAGGCCCTCGATGCTTCTCGTCTTTCCAGAGCCAGAAACTCCATAGAGTAGGAGTACATCATCCGTATTTTCCCAGGAAAAGTCTTGGAGCTGAACTTCTCTCGGCAAGCTATAGTCTTGTGGGAGAGATGTCCTCAGTCTATCCGCTATATCGTTAAGACAATTATCAATAACATCACGAATTGCCTGGTTGACACCACTGGTGAATGGAGACATTCCACGTATGGCGTAAAACATGGAATACCGACGATGTAAATGGTATTCTAAGCAGTGCACTGCTATAGTAAGTAAGATAGAAGGCCCCTTTTTTTACACGTCGGCTTACGATAGAACCTGAACAGAGAACTGTTCTTCTTCTTCTCATTAACATCTCGGTCAATTTGCTCAACAAGTTGCGTGCTACCTCGACTGGCAAGAGGATCATAGATTTTGGACAATCTAGATCTTGAAGACTGGTTGTCCTGGGCGTTGTTCTCTTTGAGAGTGTGCGATAGTACTTGTATCCACTGTGGAAAGCTCTTTTTCATAGCTATCATGAGCATCTCCAAGTATTTCTTCGGTGCGTCGTGGTACAATTCCAACACAAGAAGGAGAAAAAGAGCTTGGCTTTCATCCCCATAGACATCAACACGAGACACAGTAGCAATCATAAGCAGATACTCTTCAGATAGTGCGTTAGTATTGTTGCTATTTGGAGAAGATCGACTAAGTTAGGCGGTAAAGACATGCGAAGACATACTATAATAGGCTGTTACTTTGTCATCATCTCCAGTCCAGATAGAGTCATTCTTTGCCGCGTCTAAATTCTCAAAGCTTTTGATAAGGGAAGTCTGATCATCCTAAATATACGATTAGTAAGAAGTAAAGAAGTAAAACTAAATTTATTAAACTTTTAATATTGATAATTTATAGTATTAAAGAAAGCTAGAACCGAATATAAAGGGGTGAGATAATAGTATAGAGATCTTAATCCTAAACTTACGCCAATATATTTCTTAAGTATATTCTTAGACCATACAAAATTCGAAAACGCTATAATTCTCGATGTCAGCACGAGAGATGCATTACTGCGCTTCGTCTTAAATGGCAGATCTTCATAAGCAGCTCGCAAATCTGTTATTATGGCTTCTGTTGATGTATCATGATTATTAGAAAGCAGTGGAATTAGATTAGTATAACTTACCTCTTGTCTTGCTTTCAACGGATGAGCTATCCGCGTCTTCAGCTGTGGAAGTCGATTCACATGGGTCGATTCCCATAGCGTCAGAGTCAGGCGGATCCATCTCTCCGAATCAACCCAGATGGATTAACCATCAAAGGAGAGGTATCCAAATCTTCCCTTGGGTGATGATGTGAAGAACATGTCGTCGGAGTCATGACGAAGGTGTGCCTGAGAAGAAAAGCTTGTTTCTTTAGCTGCATAGTCCTCAGCGAATGCACTACGATTCTCATCCAATGATATGAATCCAGCCACAAAGGAGAGACTACTTTACGTTTATAAGACTGTCGTCGATAAGGTCAACTATGTAAGGAACAAAAGGAGGCAGAAATGCTCGCGATCAGCAGTCTAGAGACGTGTCAGCGGATTTTTGGGCACAGCCACATTGTGACCGTTGATGCTCTAGAAAGTCGGGCTTATGATATGAATCAACAAGGTCGCCTGCAAGAGACGTTGAGACTGTGGACAACGTCGCTGCAGATCAATTTGGACGCACTGGGAACAGATCACTTTCGAACCGGAAGATCCACGTCCGCTTCGGCAGAAGTCTACTTCAGACTGGCGCGGTGGGATGATGGTGAGAAATTAATAGCTCAGGCTGTGTAAAATTAGCTGATATAAGAAGAAACAAGAGGCTTCTATCGATTGTGACGTAGGCAGTGGCTAAGAATATTATTCTGAGGGTAGTATCGCTGATAGAAGCTACATATGCCTGAGTATAGAGAATTCTATATTCGTAATAGTGGGACTATGAGTTAGTGGGTTTATTATAAGGCTATAGCGTTAGTAGTTATTTAATCAATGGTTTTATTAATATACGATATACGATAGTAGAGAGATAGATAGCTATAACGAGTATTATTTCTATAGCTACTATATTAGTAATTAACTCTTTATTTAAAAAAATCTCTTTTAAAATTCTATTATTCTTCTTCTTCTTTATAATTAAATTTATATATATTAATCTTTATTTAATTATTATAAGTATACTATTTAATTATTATAAATTTACTTTATACTCTTTAAATACTTTATAATAAATTTTATTATTACTATTAAATTTAAGAATATAATTAAATAAATTACTCTTATCTTATATCTGTAAATCTAAAAAGTTTCTTTTTATACGATTTTCGTCGGGTTCGTATTATAAGTACGATTTAGTCTATTTAGCAGACTTTATTTATATTTAAATTCTTTTCGTTAATTCTACTAGTTTAGTAACTTTAAAATTTTTTAATAACTTTAAAATTTTTACGTAATATACTCTAATATACTCTAAGTACTATTCTATATATATATAATATTAATATATATTATTATTAATATACGTATTATTATACGTTATATTAAAATATTATTTACGCGACTAATTTTATTAAATCGTCTAATTTCGTAGCTAAATTTAAGTTAGCGTTAATACTTATCGTCGTAAAATCTTATTATTATAACGTCGATTATTAGAACTTTTCTTTTTTTATATATATTACTATTATTCTCGCAATTAGCAACTTTAAATTACTAATCTAATAGAATTTTAATAAAATTTTAGAATAGTTATTAAATCGGCGGAATTTAGACGAATTCTAATTAGAGTTACTAATCTAACGAATTTTATAATTTCCGCGATATACGCGCGATTAGCAATTTTAAATTTTATAGAAACTTTTCAGATTTGCAGATATAGAGTTATTAATAAAATCTTAAGATAATTAATAAGATTTTTAAAATTAGAAAGATTATTAAGATTAAATATCTTTCTCTTTTAAAAAGAGTATTATATATTAAACGTTATCGAGTATTATTAATCTAGATAAGATTAAAAAATATCTCTATTTATTATTAAAGTAGATCTTTAAAAATTTAAAATTTAAATATTTAAGATTTAAGAGAAGCGAAATTATCGCTATAGATTTTTTTTTAATATCTTAAATTCTTTAAATATTCGAAGCTTTTAAAAAGCGATAAAGATAATAAATTAGAATTATTATTAGATTTAATAAATTAAATAATAGAGATAATTTTATAATAGATTTATTCTTTTTATAAATAAGAAGTATTTAATTAATTACTATTATATAATTTATAGATAATCTTAAAGGTTAAATTTATAATATTAATAAACTCGTTAATTTTAAATAAAACGAAGAAAATAAATCGAAGTTATTTATAAGTATTTTAATTTTAAAAATTTATAGCTAATAAATTAATCTTAAGACTTAATAATAATACTATTCTTATTATAATTAAACTTAATAACGCTAGTTAAAAAACGAGTTTAATTATTAAAATCTTTAATTTTATATTATTCTCTTAGATATATTATTTATCTTAATATCTATTAAAGATATTATTATACTCTTAAATTAAAAATTAAAAATTAAAAACTTTTATATTAACGCTTAACTTATAATATAAGAAAGTTAAAATATCTTATATATAATATTTAAGTTTAAAAGAGATCTTATAAATATTAAAGTCTTATTTAATTTTTAATTATCTATTATTTAACTATATCTCTTTATAATATAGAGTTAAAAGTTAATTATTATAATTACGCTACGTAATAAGATAGAATAAGACGAGATTTTAAATATCTAATATTATCTCGCTTCGAAATAGAACTTTAATAAAATAAGATTAAATCGAGATAAGATTTTTTTATCGATATAATAAGAGTATCTTATTATTCTTATTAAGTATTTAATTAAATTAAAATTTATATATTATTTATATATAAATATCTAATCGCGTATCGAGTAATATCTTATTTTTAAAAAAATTTAATATAATCTAATTAAGAAAAGAATTTATTATATAAAAAGTTATAAATTACGATATATATTTTTATAGCGATAGAGAATTCTAATTATCTTTCTAATTATCGTTATTTAAAAATTATTATAATAGCGAAAAATATTTAAATTCTTATCTCTAATCTAAAATTATAAAATAATTTAATAAGATTTCTAATTTAGATAATTTATATTATTATAAAAATATTTAAATTACTTAAATATATTAAATATATTAATAATATTCTTATATATTAATTAGATATAATAAGTTAAAAAGTCTTTTATATCTATTTACTTATCTTATTAAATATAAATATTAATATATATAAAAGAATAAGATAGAGCTAAATTAGAAAATCTTAAATTTATATATATAGCTAATTATTAATTTAAGATTATTACGTCTTTTAACTAGATCGACTAAATTATCGCGAGTAAATAAATTAGCGTTTATAATTATTAAAATCTCGCTCTTCCGCGCCTTTCTTATTAAAAAAATAGATATATATTATTAATATATAGAATATTTTTTTTATTTTCTATTAAAATTTTAAGATTCTTTTTTTAAATTTTAAAACGCTATTTATACTTTTCGAATTTTTAAGAATTTTAAAATTTAATTCTATAATTATTAAAGTATAAGAAATTTAAATATCGCTTATTAAAGTTCGCTTATTAAAGATCGCTTATCTACTTACTCGATAGCTCTAATTAAAAAAATGATTATAAATTTAATTTATAGATCTTTACTCGTATATTATATTATATTATATAAGTAAAGGCCTATAAATTAAATTTATAAAAAGTAATTAATTTTTAAATCTAATTTCGAGATTAAATTCGACTCTTAAAGAGTAAAGATATTTTAATTTAAGATTTACTTAGAACTATAAGATTAAATTTAATAACTCTTAAATTATTTAAAAGCGTAATTTACGTTTTATAATTTAAAAAAAAAATCTTAATAGAAAAAAGAGAAGTTATATTAATAATAAGTTTATAGAAAATTAATTAGCTTTAGATTAATTTAAAATTAATTAATAAGAAGTTAAATTTAATATCTATTATAGTTTATTTTATTAATTATTATTACTTTTATTTTTATAATTTTTATTAATTTTATAAATTTTACGATTTTTACGATTTTTATAATTTTACGAATTTACGAATTTTTAGCGAGGGAGATTTATAAATTCGAATCGAGAAGAAAGCGAAATAGTTTCGAAATTTATTAAAACTATTATTACTCGACTATCTAAGTTTATATAAAAGAGTATTCTTAATAGAGTATATAACTTTAAGAATAAAAGTACTCGAAGCGAATTAATAAGCTCGCTTACGTTACTTACTAGACTATAAGCTACGTAACTAAAGCGAGTATTTAATATACTTAATAAAGTCTTAAATACTTATAAGTTCTCTTTTCTCTTCTTCTTTCTTTAGTTATTAGTTTATCTAATAATTAATCTATTTATTCTATTAATTATATATCTAGATCTTATAATTATATAGCTATTACGTAGTTTTATTAAAAGAGATCTTACTATCTTATAGTTCTAATAACTTTATTTATACGAAGTTATTTAATTTAATTATAATAAGTAACTCGCGAGTCGATTCTATTAATTTATAAAGTAGAAATATCTTATTATAATTTATAAGCGACGTTTTTAATTTAGTAGATAACTCTTATTAAAATATATCTACTACGTAATTAAGCGATTATAATATTAATTTTAATATTAATAAAAATTCTAATAATACTATCGACGAAAATAATAATTATCGAAGTATTATATCTAATAATTTATTATTTATAGATAAAGACTCTCGTCTTATAGACTTAATTTAAATTTAATACTATTAACTTTTAGAGCTTAATATTAAGAAGTAACTAGTTATCGAAAAATTTAAGCTAATTAAAATATAAAATATATAAAGATATCGCTATAAGTATAGTAATAATTACTATCGTAATTCGAATTATAAGAAGATAAGCGTTATTAAGATATTTAATTAATATATATAATAGAATAAGATAAAACTAAGCTTAAAAATCTTAAATTTATATATATAGTTAATTATAAATTTAGAATTACTACGCTCTTTAATTAGATCGACTAAGTTATCGCGGGTAAATAAATTAGCGTTCGTAACTATTAAATATTCGTAACTATTAAAAAAATAAGTATATATTATTAATATATAGAATAACTTTTTTATTTTCTATTAAAATTTTAAGAATTTTTTTTTAAATTATAGAACG